AGTAATCAGTGGGGTGAACCAGCTCAGGGTTCATTCTTCAGGAATCCGTTTCTAGAGTGTGTACTGTTTACTCATTGGGATACTGGATATTCTTATTTTTGTGAGGTGAAAAAAAAGTGGTCTCAAGGAAGGAAATCGGACCAGATTGTGATTTGATAAAACACGTTGTCCATTTGAATTTCATTACTGTACTAAAATGAAGAAAGCAGTTGTGTTTTGAATAGAAGGAGCCTGCCAAATGAGAGCCTTGGTATTGTATGTAGGGGAGATGGCAGTTTATCCTGGACACAGATAGTGTCTGGCCTTTGCTCACTGCGGAGCAGGACAACGCTTCGGGTATGTTAGCTAGGATTGTTAACTGGTGAGAGCTGACTGGATTGTTAAGTGTCTCAGTGTAAAAATGTTTAGCCAAGAGAGTTAGTAACACCCTGGTGTCCAAGTTGAGCTTTGGAGAGACAGTATTAGCTCTTCCTTGGCTGTGATTCAGCTCCCAGTAACTTGACTGGGTTTTTGCTGGTGACAAAGGTTACACACTTACCGTAAGTACTGCCTCTCCTTTAGGACACACACGTACTTCTATGGGTGTGCATGTGAAGTGGTTCTTCCCGACCTTTCCCCATTCTCAGCTGGTATTTCTGACATGATTAGATTTCTGAAAGAAGCCAGCTTGTAAAAATCACTTGGAAAACAGGAAGGCTTAGTGTTGTAAGACAAGTCTGAACAAAACCTGTCCCCTGGAGAAACTGTCTCCTTTCCATTCTGGGGTGAGCACTAATGCAGTGCTGTGGGACAGAGGCAGAGATGGGGGCACAGGGAGCAAAGTATGGTTGGAATCGTTGTCATCTTGCTCAAGAGCTTGCTCAAACAGTACCAGAAACTCCCTTTTTATCTTGCACTATGAGCAAACATGAGCTGTTCCTGCAGAATATGGAGTGGCTCCTTATAGGAAAGGGCTGAAGTAAAACAAATATCAAAACATTTATCTTCAGTGGAATTAGGGAGGATGCTCAGTGACTTTCTTAATCTTTATCAGGTTTCCCTGCTTATTTAAGTTAATCAAAAACCTTGTTCAGTGCCAGATTCTCAGCTGACATGCTGTCTGAGCACCACCACTGCTGTGGCCTCAGAATTTCTGTGAGTAACCTTTATTTCTCTATGAATTTCTATCTGTGAATTTTATCACCCAGACCTCTGAAAACACTGAGTCTGGCATGGAAAGAGAAAGAAAGTCCATCATTTATATACTTCCTCCTACTGGAAACCGTCTGCACACAAGAGAGGCAAGAATTTGCTGTGGTAATTATCTGCTGCCCACAACTCAGCCGCCACTTGCCCTTCTGAGAACCCACTAACTGATACAAAATGAAAGAAAATGCATCCTCTTTCTCAGTTCTGTATTTAAATAAGGAAATCAATAACACACAATATTAAAGTGAAAACATATCAACAAGCATTTATTAGGTAAATAAACATAAATCTTTCCCATGAATAAATAAATAAATAAATAGATAAATATTGAAGACCAACTACATTCTTACGCAAAAGTAAATAAATATGCAAAAGTAAATAAATAAATATATAAATAAAGTGCTTTTTTCCTAACCAAAAGATGGCATTAAAATACATGTTTAACCTTCACAACACTAATTTATAATATCTTGAAAAGGATGGCACAAAAACTGATGCCTCACAATTTTGTCTTCTTAATTTTGCAAGCCCCCTCCTCTGGTCAGTAGCGCACTGTGACTGGCAGTGACCTAGGGACAGCTAGTGCTACCTATCCATGCTTTCCTGGAGCGAAGGAGTCGCTGGTCTTTTCCTGAACTGTTGGCAAAAAGGCAAGGTGTCATTTAGTGAAACTCTGCTGAGAGTGTGCTGCACTGATCTGGCTGTGTTCTGCAAAAATGTCTCCCGAATCACCTCCATCTCATTCCACAAGCCTTTTTTTCTGCCTGCTTTTTCTCGTGTCAGTGGTTTCTCTCCCACATAACAAGACCCCTTTAAAAGAGTTAAAGTACTGTTTGCAACTAACTACAAGAACAGGGAATTCATACTCTCTAGGTGCTGTTAAAAGCATGACTATAGGAGGCAGGAGGAGGTGAGCTGCCAGAAGCTGAACGGCTGTCTCTCCCATTTTTGCCTTCCTGGAGCAGTTGGGACATTTTTCTTCTTCTTCTTAGGACACTGTCTCAGATTTGGCGTTTGCCCTAGAAAGAAAGAAAATGGAAAAGGAGACAATTAGAACTTGTGCATGAAACGGGTATCACTCACTGGAATCACGTGAAATCAGCCACGACGGCTTTGTGCTGCTTTGTCCCAGCTCCTTAAAAGCTGCTACTGAACCTAAGGGATGCTTTTACATAGTGACCTTTTCACAAGTACTCAGTGACTCTGTGCTTCTGTAGTTTGATGCTTCGCTTAACAATTCTTGGGCCTGATTTTTCTCCCACTCATCTAAATGCCATTAGTTTTGAAAAACTGATTGTTGCTTTCTACCATTGTAAGCCAAAAAAAAGGTCTGGATTTCCTGAGTGCTTGAGCTACAGGTTTTCAATATGCTTGTGCACGTCCACATGGGGTGTGTGCCACAGTACGGATTAAGCCTAATGCTGTCCTTAACACTCAAAGCAATCCCAGTGTTTGTCCCAGTCAGTGAACACAGACGGTAGCAACTGCCTGAGGAGACAGTTTTTGAATGTTTTATGCTGTGCATGTTTGCTAGCTCATTTAAAAAACCATTTTTCAATAAGTCATGCTCGTTTCAAAGAAATGACTCACTTGTCCAGAATCGCCTTGATGATCAGCTTCACCCAGGGAGCAGTGGGGTCCAGGCACACTTCTCTGCCGTCTGTCAGGGTAGCTCTGCAACAGAGAAAGAAGGAAGGGAAAAGGTCTGCTTAGTGAATTCCAAGGCAATTTCCCTTTTCTCTGATAACATCATTCTGAGTGTACACTGACACATTCTCCTTTCCTTTAAGCTGTATCATTTGTGGCTGTAGCATGACATAAAGGGTTTTTAAAACAGCTTCATATCTTCTCGTATTTATTTGTTTGAATGCATTAAATCATTTGCACGACTCCCACTCTTTTCAAAATTGCTTCCTTTTTTTTTTTTTTTTCCCCCACAGCTTGCTTTATATTTGTGATGGTGTTTAACTGAAGGGTAAAAACTTTCCATCGTGATTCAGAAAACGTACTGGCCCGTCCATAGGAATTTTGTCACAGTAAGGGTTCTAGAACAGTGACCAGGTTATATGATTTGTATGCTAATGGTAGTTTTTTCATTGGCTCGAGTAGAAGTGTGATCATATTTTTGACCTAAGTGCTAAAATTCATAATCTGATCACTTGCTCAGCGTGGCTTCATGGGTTTAATTCTCTTCTCATATGCTGGTGGAATTCAGAGCTTTAGAAAGTTATTTGCTGTCTGACGACTGTGGGTTTAGGTTGAAATATTGCATGGGTTGTTTAAGAAGTAGAGACAGGCAAAAATAACACACAATTTACAACATGTAGCGTATCGTTTGTAAGAGCAACGAGTGCTGCTGTTCTGCATTCTGAGTAGCCATGCCTGCTGGCTCATTACAGCTTACACACAGCACTTAGATCATCCTTCATGTAAAATCTGTTTCCTCCTTGTTAAGTAACTGGGAGGATTTTGCAAAAGCACTTACATGACTTCAACGTTCTTGCAGTGAGGTCCGCTGGGGATGAGGTTCACGTTATGAATGAACTTGGGATGGATGAACTTGGAATGGGTGCCTACACACTGGCATCGGAGTTCAATCGCTGAGCGTGGCAGGGCCTTGCCTGGAAAACAAGAAACAAATGAAGGTGAACTGCTTCACTGTTTCCACAGGAAGCACAACACGTTCTTTTTGCTTACAGTATTAGAAGAATTATTTGCTGCACTTGCAAGACAGCATGCTATCTCCCCCGTCAGCATTTACACTAGCAAGTAGGTAGAAGAGCTTTAGGAAGGATTTCTTTACCTTTCGTTCCCACCACTGAGATCAGGAGAAGAGTCAGGACAACAGCCACAGCCTTGCCAGTCATGATGCAAGTGTTTCTTCCTTGTGTCGCCTGGGTCTGGTTCTGGTGTGAGGTGAGCTCCTGCAGCCCCAAGGGTCCCGGTGCCTGTGCTCGGGGACCTGCCGTGTTTATATACTGCCGTGGCTTCCCCTGGGCACCCGAGTGTCATGGGTGGGTCATAGCCCTGGAAACTCCTGAGCCTGAAAGATGCTCCTATGAAATGAGTCACAGGTGAGTGGGGAAGCCCCTTTCCCTGGATGACCATGAAATCTCTTTTCATTAACAGAAAACACTTCATTAATTAGAGACATATAAAAACACAGACTATGTACAGAATTGCTTGGGCTTGGCTTTGTGGAATCTACGGGGTTTTTGTAATACTCTATTTCTTGTGATTATTTTCTTCTGTCCCTTTGGACTTGACTTTTGCTGTTATTATGATGTTACTCTGACTTTCCACTGGTGGAAGGCATATGATCTGTGATTTTCCATCTATGTGTCTTTGGGCTTTGATTTTTTTTTTTCTTTTTAAGACATGATAGAAGTAGGAACTTTGTAGAAATGATAGGGACTAGAACTGAATTTTAATGAGCTCCCTTTGTCCTTATGTGCAATTACATTTTTAAAAAATCTTTCTTTATATGCTGAGATAACTTCTGCAGAAATATTTACAGTACTTTTAATACATTAAAACCTAGCATCACTGAAATTCCGTCTCCTTCACCATTCTGTAGACCTTTATCACATCTCCAGGTTGATCTCTTTTTACAAAAGGTTGTCCTGTTTCCTGACAGCAGCATGGGTCGTGTTGTTCATGCCTGTCTCTGGACTTCTTCTTTCCCCCTAACACACTATTTCCATGCACAGCAAACTGTTCACAGAAATGCAAACTGGAGTATCAAGGGAAATGACCTCTGGCCTTCATGCAAGGAGAAAATGGAAGTAGGAATTGCATTGCCTGTGAAGTGTAGACCTCTTTTCCAAATAAACCCAAGAAAATGTTGTCTTTAATTTCATTAACGATTTTCATTAACTCAAAGATAAAATTATTCCTTCTGTCCTGTATTTGCAGTGAAGGTGATACCCTTTGGCTTCTTTGCATAAACCCCACTGCCTGGTGTGTTTTAAGGAAGCGTTATTTCTGCGTTCTTGATCCAGAGAGATAAGATGTTTGTGGTGCTTGTATATTACTACTCAAATATAAAGAAAAGGCTTATGTGTCCTAAGTCTATCATCCATGACATAATGATTACAGCGTAACAAACCTCGATGTGAAGCAATGAGAACTGAGTTCTGGAGCCCGTGCTTTGATTTGTAATGTAAAAATCAGAGAGAGAAAAGCAAGAGGTCATGAGTGGAAGACTTGGCCTGCAAAAAACCCACAGTCAACAAAGATAAAATTCCTTTTGTGGGTACAGAGAGAAGTCAAAAAAGATGAACCATAAATGAGAAGATCACATGTTTTATTGTAAAGTGTCATGATTTGGGTGAAAGAGAGGAGCTGCTGTTTCAATCTATTTACAAGGACCTAGTTTTGGAGACATGAGGCAGGTGAATTAAAAGCTGCAGAATTTCTACTGCATACAGCTTCTGACCGAAAAGAATAGTTCCTCATACTTAAATATGAGTATCGTAAACAGTATCTGGTAGCCTCCAGCTGAATAAACACTTTGTCAAAAGGGTCATAAATTTAGTTATTGAGAAGTGTCAATTTTCTTGGCATAAGAGTCCCTTAGTATCTACCAGCTGTTATCGCTTGTTGCTGATAAGATTTCTGAGAAATGATGGGCTTATCAGCAATATATGACACACAGGAATGCAAACATTCCCGCGTCCAGGTTTTGATGTTGAGGTGTGGTTCCTGTCCAAGTCACATGGCAAACTGGTACGTGCTAGATCAGTGGAATCAACTTGTAGGTGCTACCGCAGGCATAAAATTCACTAATTCCACTAATCCAGGCTTCTGCATCAGTTCTGCTGCAGCATAGCAAAGGGCAAGAGAGAGCTTGAGGTACCTGAGTGAAAAAATTGGAGTTTCTCAGATCATTTTCTGTATGCGTCTCCCCAGCTATCCCTGACTTGTGAGTGGCCTGAAACTTTGCATTTCCTTGTACTCCCACGAGCAGCAGGGGATTTTTTTCCGCTCGGGAACCCCTTGCTCTGCTTTGTCTTTTTCTCCCTCAATGATTGCTCGCCAGTATCTTCAGAAATCCTACCTCGTGCCTGGAATTTTAGATCCAAACATGTAAAAAGATCATTTACAAATAGCTGAACAGCTGAGTCGGTGAATGTGACAATTCCTGATGGGGTTTTTTTAAAGAATATTGGGTTCAGCCGGAAAGGGTAGCCCTGATGGAGCTTTTTTCATTTCCTTCAGGCAAATTCTTCCTCTTATTTTCTGCACTTCTGTGACCCCATATGCAAAATCTATGCATACTTTTGACCTGCAAAGGGAAAATGTCTCAACTTCTTTGCGTCCTGTCTGGCAGTCTGGGTCTTTAGTGCCATCTGTGTTTTCTCTTGGCGGTGAGACAGTCTGTTCTGTGAACCTTCCCTGGGGCAACTCGACTGGCTTGAGCCGGCCAAATGGAGAACTGCCTTACAGTTATAGATACCATAAGTAGATGTCTTTTCCCCCTAACTATTTCTTAATTAGATAGCAACAAAAAAGCCAAAATCTTACATTTGCCAACTTTTATATGAAAGATATGGGATAAATGTCTGTAAATAGAAGCGCAACCATGAGATATCTGTTTAGCACCTGTCTTCCTGACAAGCCTCAGCCACCTCTGGACCAGCCCTCTGCAATAAATATTTGTTTTCTTTTGTTTAGTTAACAGGCAATTCGGAAAGCCTAACTTGTTTTGATGAGTGCCTCTTCTCAGGAAAGGCTCGCTGAAATTCGTGTGGTTGTCTCTGCCCCTCTTCCTGAAGCTGCATGTGCTTGATATCCACCACCATCAACAAGAGTGGAAGTTGCATCCGGTTGCTTCTAGAAGTGCTGGCCGTGGAGTGAAGTGTATTTTCTGAATCAGTCCTCTACTGGGCAGGTGTTACAAAGGTCACTGTGCGAGTGCCTTAACAAATGAGTATTAATTAGTCATAAAGTTGCACAAAGATGAGAGCCAGAGCTATGCTGTACTGCAGTGCTACTTCCTCACAGTGCAGGAGATGATGATCCCTATTCCTGTATTTTCCGTGCAGCCTGTGATTCTTGCTGCAGAGAAGTGCGGTTGCAACACCTATGCTGGTGAGTACTTTTTTCCACCTACACTGCTGATGAAACCTCTGTTTTGGAGGCAGCAGTGCCTGCGAGTTCTGTCTTGGGAGGACCTGGCATGTGGCTCTCCCTGCAGCACAAGCAGGTGCTCCAGCAATCCGCGATTATGGAAGACACTGAAAACCATCGCTATCCATTCTTTCTTCTGAATTTTCTGTTAGCTGGCTTCATTTCCCTTTGTTCATTTTTCTAGCTGTTCTGGATCCTGGTGCTATACATTTAGTACTCCAGCCTTACTGCTGGACTTGTAAAATTTGTTAAGGGTACTCTTGAGCATTGCTCCAGCAACGTCCCTGAGCCTCAGTCAGAGCATGTAGGGTTGGCTCAGACCTTTGTTCACAGTTTGCAGCAGTTTGAAGGAATCCAAAATTGCAGTCCTTCCTTTCCGTGCCCTTTGCCACAATACGAACAGAAGCCATTTACTGACCAGGTTTGATGGAAAATATCTGCCTTTGTATGTTCCTGGGATTTCCCCACATATGTAGTAACTGCATAGGAAATGAAGTCATCCCCAGAAAGAGAAGTAGTATTGGTAGAAAAAAGAAAATGGACAGGATACTGCTGGAAGCGTGATCAGGATGTTCATGCTACTCAACATGCAGCAACTTTTTCAAAGAAAAAGTGACTGCTGTGGTTTAATTGTATTAGTTGCATTTCTCAAAGAAAAAAAAAAAAGCAGTAGGATTACTCAGGGACTTTCCAGCATTTCAGCCAATATCACCATGTGTTGTCTTTCATATTAAATAAATACCTTTTTTAATTAATCATCATAAGTAACTGAAAACCAATTACAATATATGAACCAAAGAGTTACTCAAAAAATATTTTATTTAATGTGACAAAGCCAAGACTGCCGCGACTGAGCAGAAGCAGTAGTTGAGAATAAGGAAAGGACCAGAGCAGATACTTAGGAGTAGTGCTTGCTCCTGTCCTCACACTCTCTCCCTACTCCCTGGCCTCCCCTTTGCAAGTTTCTATCCCCTCAGCTGTGCCCAAACTAGAATTCTGTTTTCTAGGTAGCTTTTATCTACTCGAGGGAGGAGGATAAAAGTAATGACAGTTTTTCCAAAGCTTCTGTATTTTCAAGCCTATTGCAAAGCAAAGCAGAATTAACAATCCTGTGCTACATGGGTATTGCAATTCTCATCATCTGCCTACTGGTGTAGATCAGGAATAAATGAAAATCACTGCACTCATGTGTCAGCATTGGATCTAATTATGAAGAGAAGAAGGTCCTGAACTCAGAGGCAGTGAGATGATGTGAAACACAACAGCTACTAGAAAACAGACGGGGGTGCATTGGCCTCAAATTCCTGTATGTAAGTATGTATGGAGTTTATAGCTCCTTAAACAAAGACTTCTGACACTGGAGCTGAGGGAAAACGCTCCCAACTAAGTGCCAAACTGAAGGCCAAAATGGAACAAATGCATCTTAAAGAATCTGCTTCTGGTGCAGTCCTGCTGGTCAGACCCTGCAGAAACATTAGCTGACTCCAAGCAGGTAACTCACACCCCGGGCGTAGATTTCTGCTAGGTTATTTATGTGTTAAGTATTTGCCCAGCTGAGTGCATGGCACCCATTTTGTAGATAAACAGTTTGTGTTTGTTCTGCTCTGTAGTGTGTTGATTTTGAATATTTGCTGTCAAAGAGATTGTTTTCCCCTATGGATAGGTAAAAATAAGGATTTGCTTTGCAGTTGCACCTGAGTATCCCAGTTGCTCCTGTTACCGACACGGGGCAGAA